GGCGAGTAGAGGGTCGTCCTGAGGGGCTTTTCGGCGTCTTGGGTGCCTCGGGGGGGCCTCTGTGGGCCGTTCGGAATCCTCTTTGGGGCCTCCTGGGGGCCTCTTGGGGCCTCTTGGGGCCATCTTGGGGCCTCTGGGAGCACCTTGGGTGCCTCTGGGGGGTCTCTTGGGGCCTCTTGGGGGTCTCTTGGGGGCCTCCTGGGGGCCTCTTGGGGGGCCTCTTGGGGCCATCTTGGGGCCATCCTGCGGCCTCTTGGGGCATCCTGGGGGCCTCTTGCGGCCATCGTGGAGGAAATCGATCAAAGAAGAGGGGTTCCTAAATTTCAGCCCCCCCCTCAGGAGCCACGATCCTCGTGAGGGGTGTCGAATTTTAGCCCTCCCAGGGGTCGATCTTGGGCGCTCCAACGCGCCGCGGAACCCCCTGTCCAGGTCAGTGGGGAGGGGGTAGGGGGAGGGGTAAACCCCTCCCCGAAGGGGAAGAGGGAGGGGTGGAAGAGGAAACTCCTTAAACCACCGACGCCCAGAGGGCCGGTGGGATTCGACGATTTTGGCCTCCAGGGCCCATCTTGGGAATGCTCTTGGAGGCTTCTTGGGCCGTCTGGAAGGCTTCTGGCGGCTTTCAGCGCCGTGAAGGCTAACAAGTTGGATATGTTGAAAATCCCAGTTTTCCCAAGGGAATTTGTAGATGTTGGTTTCTTGGGGGCTTTTTGGGAGGCCTCTTGGAGGATTCGTGGGACGTCTTGGCGGTCTCTTGGGCCGTTTTGAGCTCATCTTGGGCGTCTTGGAACGATTTTTCGGCGACTTTGGGTTCTCGTGGTCCGTCTTGGCGGCTTCTTCGGAGGTGTCAAGTGCTGTCGTGCAGTTCAAGGGCGAGCCCACGGAGCCCAGACCGCCCTGAGTGAGTTCGGTCCGGGGTGGGGGGGGGGGGTCAGTTTCCTGGTTTGGGGTCCCTGGGGGGGGGATCATGAGGGGGGACCACTTTCACACGCCTGGAGACCCAGAAGGGGTCGGCGGATGAGCGAGGCCGCTAAGGATAACCACCACCAAACATTGCTGACGGAGGGGCACTGCACGCCTGATGCGGGAAAGGGCGCAGTCACGGCCCTGCAAGCGCCACCCAAGCGCGGCGCACAGCGGGAGGGAGCGGCGCGCGGTGGCAGGGAGACGACCGCGAGGGCGGCCCCGCAGGGCGGAGAACGAAGGCAGCAGGCGAGCGGCGAGGGAAGAGGCAGCCAGGATTAAGTCGGGCCTGTCCCTCTACAGGAGGAGTGTGCAAGAATAACGTGCGACAGTAGTCTGGGGCCGATTTGCTCTGCATTTTTGAACTGTTTGGGAGTACTTGTGGACCATGTTTCATCTTGCTTCCAGAATCCGACACTAGGAGGACGCGCCTGGCCTAAAGCCAGGACCGAAGCCAGGCGAGCGACTCCGGGGAAGCACCGCGGCGCCGACATTCGGGCCGGACGAAAGTGGGGCATAGGGAAAGCGGGGTCTACTAAGTCTGCTGCATGCAGCTGGTTTCGGCCCCACTGACATGGCCGCCTCTGGCGCCTAAGAACGCCGGGAAAATCAGCTACGTGAGTTGATTCTCAACCCCCCCCTTTGCTATCCCCTCTTTCGCTCCCCCCGAGACTGAGGAGCGAGGAGGGAGGAGAGGGGCGACGCCCAGGGGCCGGGGCCTTCGACTGCGGATGGGCCAGCTGCGCGCGGCAGGCAGGGAGGGCATGCCCCAAAGGGGGCACCGTAGAGGACGAAGAGGGCGGGTATCGAGGGTTTGGGACGGATGCTGGGCGAGGGCTGGCAAATCCGTGGCTGCTAAGATCTGGACGCCCGAAAGGGGTACGGGAACAATGAGTGTGATGCCCAACAGCAAACGTTGTCCAAAAAAGACAGCCGCCGTTGTTGGGCAGGCGGCCTTCTGCCTCAAAGTAACAAGGCCCGCGGCGGCACCAACAGCAACTCCTGTTCAAACTGGACCAGAACTATTGTCGGTCTCCGTATACCCATTCTTTCCGTACCCATTTCGATCGTCCCGATTAAGCGGTCTTTCCAGAAGAAAGCAACACAGTCCGGGACTAGAATTAAATTTCCGCGCCGTTTTAGCAGCCACGGGTTTGTCAGCTTTCGCCTGGGCGGCTCGCGAGCAGATAAGAGCGAACAGTCTTAAAATCATTGTTGTTGCATTTTCGCTCCCAGACTCAAATATTGTAAATCCCCTATCTCCGGTGCGCGTCTTGTTTTTCAATTGCAGTGTTTCTCCAGGGTGCTCGCATCTTGTTTTTTGCGATGAAGGATCTTCCTCCGCAAAATTTGCCCTTGGCCCCCGATTTACAGGAACAGCGGCTCCTGCCTGACATGTCCTCACAATGTATTTCAAAGTTTCGCTCTCGCGCTGGACAGGAATCGCGCTCTCGCGTGGGACACCCTCGCAACGTATTCAGACGCCGCGCCCCCGACGCTCAGGCATCGCGTTCTCGCTTTGGTTTCTCTCACGATTTATTGGGGAATCGTATTATCGCTCGAGATTTCACCGCGATTCATGCAGGACTCACGCTTTATCCACCCGCCTGCTCGACCTGGCCGCCATGGCCCGCC